GCATTGTTCACAAATAAGCTAAAGATGATTTTTGTTCTATAGTTCAGCTGGTAAAAGGCATCTGTCAGCTTTTTGAGATGGTTTGGACTGCATAACAAAACTGTAACATAAATCTCCATCCATGCCATATTTAAGGATGACATGTAATAATAAGTCATGAGGACTCTGTAGCCAACAAAATTTATTATGTCTCATCCTGTCTCAGAGCTGTTCCCACGTCACCTGTCATGTAGTTTTTCTTGGTTTCTTTCTTCATGTCTGTAGCCAAGATTTTTAGGAGGTCTCCCCCAGTCAAATCTGATCTTTATTAATTTTGAAGGAATCCATAGCTTTTCATTTCCTGTGGATACAAAAGCAAAGCCTCTCCCCCAACACAACACATTTCCTGACTTCCATTCTGAAGTTAAGACATAAACAGTGGGACAAAGGGTGGAAAGACCAGAGGACACATCTACTCCAGCAGATGTACATACAGAACACTGCAAAGAAACAAAAAAAGAAGACAACACTCCACTACAATATCCCACAACTGACAACTTCTCAACACTGGAAGTGATGATGGGATAGTGTCTTAGTTAGGGTTTCTGTTATTGAGATAAAACTCCATGACTAAAAGCAACTTGGGGAGGAAAGAGTTTGTTTCAGCTTCTAAGTCCACCACTGAGGGAAGCCAGGGCAGGAACCTGGAAGGAGGAATTGATGCAGAGACCAAGGAGGAAGCTGATAACAAGTTTGCTCCCCATGGCTAGCTCAGCCTACTTTATAAGAAAGTGTATAAGACACTCCAAAACTACCTGCCAGGGGGTGGCACCACCCACAATGGGCTGGCCCCTCCCCCATCAATCACTAATTAAGAAAATGCCCTACAGACTTGCTAGTCTTATGAAGGCAGTTTCTTAATTAAGATTCCTTCTCCCCACATATATGTATGTTTGAGCCGGGCGGTGGTGGCGCACGCCTTTAATCCCAGCACTCGGGAGGCAGAGGCAGGCGGATCTCTGCAAGTTCGAGGCCAGCCTGGGCTACCAAGTGAGTTCCAGGAAAGGTGCAAAGCTACGCAGAGAAACCCTGTCTCGAAAAAACCAAAAAAACAAAACAAAACACATATATGTATGTTTGTGTCAACCTAACAAAAACTAACCAGCACAAATAGAAATGAAAGAAAACAAAATTAAAATTCCTTCTTTGTAAGTAGATCAGTGATTAAGGCCCAGCATGGTGGTGCACTCCTTTGATCCCAGCCTCAGGAGGTAGAGGCAGGTGGATCTCTGTGAGTTTAAAATCATCTTGATCGATACAATGAAGTCCATGCCAGCCAGGACTACATAGCAAGAGCCTGTCTCAACAAAAAAAAGATCAGTGATCACATAGAAGACTCAAATAGATTCATTCCTGAACAAGAAAATTATAAAATCAACTCAAGATGTAGATAAGAAAGTTACCAAAGTCAGGGAAAGAATTAATAACTTAGAATAAAATTTTATAAATGTAGAGGAAAAGTTCACAGGGAAGTTGATACACTAAAAACCAAACAAAATTCTGGAAATGAAAGAATCAATTAATGAAAATGAAAACAAAAACCCAGCATCACCAGCAGACAAGGCCAATTAGAAGAACAAATCTCAGGTGTGGAAGACAAATTTGAGACAGTAAAATACAGACATGTAGCCAGGCGGTGGTGGCGCATGCCTTTAATCCCAGCACTCGGGAGGCAGAGCCAGGCGGATCTCTGTGAGTTTGAGGCCAGCCTGGACTACCAAGTGAGTTCCAGGAAAGGCACAAAGCTACACAGAGAAATCATGTATCAAAAAAACAAAAACAAAAAAAAAAATACAGACATGTATAAAAACAAAACACTAGTGAATGTAACCAAAAGTACCAAGAACTCTGCATTCATTCAAGAAGCCAAACCTAAGAACTGTAAGAGCTAAGATAAAATCAAATAACTTAAGACAACTTACTCAACAAATATGGCCAAGAATTTCTCAGATCTAGAAAAAGAAGCAGATATCCAAACACAGGAAGCATTTAACACCTCATACACATGACATATCATAGTCCAGTCAAAAATACAAAGCAAAGAAATAATACTCTCTATGGCAAGATAATCCCTACCATCCAGAGGCAGAAACTTCAGAATGCCGGGTCTGTTGTCAGCAACCCCAAAGGCCAAGAAACATGGAATGATAGAATTTGAGTCCTGAAAGTCAGTGACCATCCACCAAGATGCAATATCTAGCAAAATTATCTATTAAAATAGACAGAGGAGTATTTCAAAACATGAACAAGATAAGGCAATTTATGACAACTAAGTCAACACTCCAGAAAATTCCTAGTGTCATACACTGAGGAAGAAGAAAGGCAGTTTCACACACAAGAACGCAGGGAGAAGGGCATTTCATGAAAGGAACACACAGAGAACTGAGAAGAAATCAATCATGCCCAGTACAGCAAACCAGAAAACATTTATTTAACACCACTAGAGGAAGAAGAAAAGAACTTTCAATAAACTGAGGAACCAGAACAGCAAAAAACAGTTGTGCCAGGCTGTGGAGGCAGTTTAATCCCAGCACTCAGGTGGCAGAGGCAGGCGGATCTCTGTGAGTTCGAGGTGGACAGTCAGGGCTACACAGTAAAACCCTCTCTCAAAAAGCCACAAAAACAAAATAAACAACAAAAAAAAAAAGTTAGAGGTAATACAAACTCCTCAATTATAACCTTGAAATAGTCAAACTTACAGTAATGTTAGGTATGTTTTCAAGGTCATACACAGATATATTTAGATAGATGGTCTTTAAACACTTCAAGACCTATAGAATATTGCATCTAAGATGTTTAAATAACCTAAGGCTTTTCATAACAGTGAAACACATCTGCTCCAGGCAGCACTGATCTACTTCAGAGAAGATGATGGGCATCAAAGAAATTCCATGTGGAGTCTGCTTTCTTTATGGCAAAAGCTAGTCATATGAGCAAAGAAACTGCCCATGCCTCAGTTGCTGACAATATACTGTCCAAACCGGACCAGCAGGATGCAAGAAAGGTGACTGCAAAACTTTGCCAAGACAGGGTAGGACAGTTCTTCAGAATTCCCTGCTTTATGGGAAAGTCTGTCAGATATGCTAGACCTGTAGGCCAGAGTTGGATGTCCCAGTGTTACAGAGGAACTTTGGGTGACTGTCCAGGCAGCGAGATGTCCCTATCATTAGGTAACATTTCACTCTTCCGGGGACTTTGCTAGAGTTGAAGACTAGACAGTTATAGTTTTCCTTAGTTATGATAAAAGGTAAATTAGATATAAAACTTTAAACTCACCGAGATAAGATAGATAATTGGGTTTTTTCTCTAAATTTGTCAAATACAAATGGACTGGATGTTATAACTGTAATTCCTACTTAATAACTGTTTTGTTTTTTTGTTTTGTTTTGAGACAGGGTTTCTCTGTGTACCTTTGGAGTCTATCCTAAAACTCACTCTGTAGACAAGGCTGGCCTTGAACTCACAGAAATCCACCCACCTCTGCCTCCCAAGTTCTGAGATTAAAGGCGTGCACCACCACTGCCCAGCTTAATAACTTTTTTATATATAGTTTCACTATGTTAAAGTTAAAACCTTTTTTAATTAGACAGAAAGGGAGAAATGCTGTGGAATAGTCTTTCTGTACACTTTAAATATGTATTACTCTTATTGGTTAATAAAAAGCTGACAGGCCAGTAGCCAGGCAGGAAGTATAGGTGGGACAGCCAGACACAGAGGATTCTGGGAGGAGGAAGGGTGGAGTCAGCAGAGGTGCCAGCCAGCTGCCTAGGAAACAGAACATATAGAAAAGGAGGTAACAAGCCATGAGCCACATGGCAAAGCATAGATAAGAAATATGGCTTAATTTAAGTATCAGAGTTAACTAATAACAAGCCTGAGCTATTGGCCCAGCATTTATAAGTAATATATTAAGTCTCTGTGTCGGTTATTTGGGAGCAGGCAATCTGGACAGGAAACTTATGCCAACACACTCTGTAGACCAGGCTGACCTCAAACTCAGAGATCTGCCTACTCTGCCTCCTGAGTGCTGAGGTTAAAGGTGTACGCCACCATGCTGGATTTGAATCCTAGTTTCTAACTCTAAAACATGTCTATGTAAGTGGGAACAAGTATAGGCAGAGTCCTTGAAACTTGAAAGGCCATAAGTTGTGGGAGGAGGACTTTAAAATAGGTGGGGAGGGTCCTGGAACGTTGGATGTGTAAGTGGGAGGAGGAAAGGGGGCGGGGCTGCAGGGGTGTGTGAAAACGGGAAGAATGGGCCAGTGGGCTGGGTCAGTTCATAGAGATGCCTGCTGCCACGCCTGACAGCGTAGGTTCCATCCTCAGGACCTACACTGTAAAAGGAGAGAAGTGACCTCTCAGCTCATCATCTGACCTTCATGTGTGACCCCCACTCTTCAGCCAGAATAATAAGTAAATAATTTTAAACTTTTTTTTTTTGAAACAAGTCTTTCTATGTAGCCTTGTCTGACCTAGAAGTCTGGGGGTGGGGAATATTACAAGGAAGCCTGTTACTTTGTACACTAATACTCTAGAAAAGGATGGAAGCCACAGCAGCCCTGTGGAAAACCAGACAAAGCGTGGACCTGCCTAGAAGTCACACCAGCCCACCTGTCTCTTTTCCCCAAGTTCCTGAGTGCTGGGATTAAAAGTGTGGGCTACCATTCCTGGAGAGACTTTTTTTTGAGACTGGGTCTCACCTGGCTCAAGTTTGCCTCAAAGTCACTCTATAGCCAAATATAACATTAAGTTAATCCTCCTGCCTCTGCCTCCCAATTTGTGGGATGACAGGTGTGTGTGACTGTGCCTGGTTGATGGAGTGCTGAGGATCCAACACAGGGTTTTTTGCATGTCAGATAAGCACTCTACCAACTGAACTACATTTCCAGCCCCAGACTTTAATATACTGTGGTTTTAAAAGTGGGGGATGGCATGATGCTACTACCTCTTGCCTTCTACAGGAGCTGGTCCGGCAGCGAGGAGTCCTAGAACACACTGAGAAGATGGTGGACAAGATGGATCAGGATTTGAAGATAAGCCAGAAACATATCAACAGCATTAAGAGTATGTTTGGAGGATTTATCAACTACTTCAAATCCAAACCAGTAGAGACTCCACCTGAACAGAATGGCAGCATCCCCCCGCAGCCCAGCAGCAGGTGAGTGTGGCGTCTGCAGTCTGAACACAGAAAACAGTAGAAACAGGTTGTGTGGAAGGAGCCAAGGCTCTCAGGCTTTGTAGTGCCTTCCAGGTATCCTGGAGCCCTATGGTCACTCATGGAAAGGAACTTATTCACCTTTGGCCTTGCTGAAAGAGAAGCCAACCCCCTTCCCTACTGTGCTCATCTGGTTGATAAAATCCTACCCAGTCATTGTGACTCCAGTCTTAGAAAGTTTCATCAATATAAATGTGACTCCTTTTACAGAATGTTTCTTTACCAAGTCACCCCAGAAGGCAGACACAGTGGGGGCTGTGTGTAATCTCAGCTGTTGAAGAGGCTGAGGCAGGTAGATAGCAAGTTCAAGCCAGATGTGACGGTGCATACTTGTGATCAAAACAACTTAGGAAGCTACGGCAGGGAGACCTAGATTTCAACACCAGCCGTGAGACCAGTTTTAAAAAACAAAAGAAAAGAAATAAATATATATGGTTGGGCTGGTAAGATGGCTCACCAGGTAAAGGCACTTGCTGCCGAGCCTGATGACCTGAGTTCAATCCCTGGGTCCACATTGTGGAAAGAGAGAACAAACTTCAACAGATTTTCCTCTGATCGCTAGATTTACGTACACACACACGATAAATAAATGTAACTCAATATCATATATATATATATATATATATATATATATATATATATATATACACACACACACATATATATATATAAATATATATATATATAGAGAGAGAGAGAGAGAGAGAGAGAGAGAGAAAGAGAGAGAGAGAGAGACTTGTCTAGAATGTGTAAAGTCCTAGATTCCATCCCCACCACCACAAAAAAATGGATCATACATATGAATAATATAAAAAACTTCTTATTCTTCTTCTCTGTATCTAACCTAATCTGTCTCTTAATTCCCACTTTAAAATTACAGATTGTTTACCTCAAAAATTTGGGGCAGATATACAGTGATCGTATGTAAGGACTGGGCAGGAAGCCGGGCGGTGGTGGCGCACGCCTTTAATCCCAGCACTTGGGAGGCAGAGCCAGGCGGATCTCTGTGAGTTCGAGGCCAGCCTGGGCTACCAAGTGAGCTCCAGGAAAGGTGCAAAGCTACGCGGAGAAACCCTGTCTCGAAAAACCAAAAAAAAAAAAAAAAAAAAAAAAAAAAAAAAAAAGGACTTGGCAGGCTTCAGCACCACATGTTCAATGACAAGGCAGGACTAGAGGGTTGGCTCAGCGGTTAAGAGCACTGTGCTCTTGCGGAGAGAGGGTCTGGGTTCAGTTGCCAGCACCCATGTGGTGGCTCACAACTGTCCATAAAACAGTTCCAGGAATTCAGTGTCCTTTCTTGACCTCTGAGCACCAGGCACAGACGTGATGCACAGACATACATGCAGGCAAACACTCATGCACATAAAACCATCTTTAAAAAAAAGACGAAAGAATTGGCTATTTGTTAAAAACAGTGGCCATTATTCATACCTCAGGTCATTCTTGTTTTATGTTGTTTTAAAGTGGTTTGGTTTTGTTTTTTAATTGTGTGTGTGTTTTGGGGGGAATGCAAGCCACAGCCATGTGCAGGACACTTGCAGGGGTTTATTGTCTTCTTCCTCCATGTGGGTCCTAAAGATTGGACTCAAGTTGTTTCACTTAGTGACAAATCCTTACATGCTGAGCCATCTCTCACAGGCCCTTGTTTTGTATTATTTTTTGGGAAACAAGTAATATGTAACCAAGGCCGGTCTTGAATTCACATTTAGCTGAAGATGATTTCGAACTCCTGATCCTCCTGCTGTCATCTCCCAAATTCTGGGATAATAGCCTCGACTCTCCACACGCAGTTTGAACACTGTTTTACTAGTGAATCGTGGATATGGGGTTGGGGATGTAGCTCCGTCAGCAGAGTGCTTGCCTAGCGTTCTGGAAGCCCTGGGCTAAGCCTCCACTTCACTGGGCTCCAGAGACAGACTCAGGATAAGCCTGTGCTGGCATTGCTCTCTTTCCTTGGTGGTCCTCAACCAGTCTCTGAGCACTTGCAGCTCCCTGACCAGGGGATGCTTAGTCAGAAGCTCCTGCAGCGCTGGTGACGGAGGCCCGCTGGGACATTTGCACCAAGTGCATTTGCCAAGTGGTCCGCACCCATCTCGTAGTTGTTTCGAGCTAGTAACTCTCCACAGAAGAATTCCTGATCAGCTTCAGATAATTTGGAAAGCCAGCTCTAGGCCTTTGGCAAGCTTTTGCCCTTCATTCCCAAAGCTGTTCTCGCTGTTGAGGTCACTTAGCTTCTTTTGGGAGAAGTAAAAGAGTCACCCATGCCACAATGATGGCATGGGTCCAGCATGGACTGCCAAAATTCATGTTCTCTGTCTCTGTCTCTGTCTCTCTCTCTCTCTCTCTCTCTGTCTCTCTCTCTCTCTCTCTCTCTTACTCACTCTCTGTCTCTCTGTGACCAACTCTCCCAAAGAAATTCTTTTGAGGGCTGTGTGAGTTAAAGTCTCATGTAGCCCCAGGTCACCTCAAGCTGACAAGGTAGCCAAGACCAGCTTTGAATTCCTGACCCTTCTACCTCCATCTCCTAAGTGTCAGGAATACAAGCATGTACCACCACTACAACAAAAAATTAGATATGGTTGTGAGCCACCATATGGGTGCTGGGAACCAAACTCAGATCCTCTGAAGGAGTAACAAATGCTCTTAACCACTGAGCCGTTCTCCAGCCCCACAAAAATAAAAGTAAACAAAGAAACAGGGAGGGGCGAATACTAGCTGAGCTGGGTGGTGCATGCCTGCAATCAGAATAGGTAGTTTGGGATCAGTATTTTAAGGGCAGCCTAGGATTTATAAGACCCTGTTTTGGGTGCTGGAGAGATGGTTCAGCAGTTAAGAGCACTGACTGCTCTTCCAGAGGACTGGGTTCAATTCCCCAGCACCCACAGTTCACAACTGTCTGTAACTCCAGTTCCAGAGGATCTGATATGTTGTTTGAATCTTAGATGGTCTTGTAATTAAAAAAAAAACCCAGAGCCAGATATTGGGGTGAAAGCTGAAAGATCAGAGAAGCAGAGCAAACCACAGCCACCACCTATGACTTCACCAACTCCACAAATCCTCTGACTGAAATCCTCTAAGTCTTGAACTGCTTTAGTTCCTATTTCCTCACACCTTATATACCTTTCGCCCAGCCATGTCACTTCCTGGGATTAAAGGCATGTGTGCTTCCCAATACTGGGATCAAAGGTGTGTGCCACCATGCCTGGCTCAGTTTCCAGTGTGGCCTTGAACTCAGAGATCCATCTGGTGGTAGGATCCTCAGTGGTAGGATTAAGGGTGTGTGCCACCCACTGTCTGGCCTCTATGTCTAAACTAGTGGCTGACTCTGTCCTCCAGTCTCCAGGCAAGTTTATTAGGGTACACAGTATGTCACTACATTTTCCCTTTTTTGTCTAAAATAATAAAAGATTATAACTAATATAAGAAAAACTACATACAATAAGTATATACAATATATAAAATCAAGAATCACATTAACAATGTCCAGTCCATTAACATTTGACAGATTCAGAGAAAATACTCCATTATTTATCCTATTTTGGTGAGTCCAAAATGTTGTACCTATTCACTTTCTATTCTAACTTGTATTACCAACCAAAAACTATCTTTTGATGTCTTTCAAACTTATACACTTTTTCACCTCTTTAGTGAGTTTCTTTTCTGAATTTCTTAACAAGGAAAACTATAACTATAACTATCTAATTTTCAACTCCCTCAGAGACCTGAGAAGGAAATAATATTACCTGAGTAAACAGGAAATACAAACAAGTGACTTCCAAAAAATGTGAGAAATGACAGAAACAGCTGGCTGCCTGGGCAGTCACCCTGGGTTTCTCTGCAATGTTGGGGCATCCATCTTCATCCTACAGGCCTAGCATATCTGACAGACTCATCTGTGAAGCAGGATTTTCTGAAGGGCTGTCATACTTTGTCTTGGCAAGGATCAGCAGTCCTTTCTTTTGTGTCCTGTTTGTCCATTTGGACAGCATACTGTCAGCAGTCAGGACAAGGGCATTTTCTTGCCCAGTGGCATTTTTTTGCCACAAAAAGTAAACTCCATGTGGAGTCTCTTCGAGGCCCATCATCTTCTCTGAAGTAGATTGGTGCTGCTAGGAGCAGACATGTCTCATTGTCACTAAAAAAAAAAGAATCTATGTTATCAAAACATCTTAAATGCCATATTCTGTAGGTCTCTGAAGTATTTGAAGATGACCTGTCTATCTAAAATATACTTCTTTTTGACCTTGAGAACATACCTAATATGACTACAAGTTTGGTTGTAATGAGTATTAGCTCGCATTTCTTATATCCTAACTAGTTGGTAATCATAACTTTCAAGGACTAGCAATTTGCATTACATTGTTAAATAAACTGTATAGGTACAATACCTTGAACAAGATGAGAAATATATGTACAATGTTTTCTAACAAAATCAATCTCAAATTTGTATCAATATACATAATTTTTATACAATACACAAAAATCCAATCCAATGTAAAATATTTAAAACTAGTAGTTGCTTTCTAAAAGTAGATTTAATAATCTACTTTTTATCATATATGTATATTCTCTCTTTTTTCAGAGTAGATTCAGTAATCTGCCTTTTATCTTATATCTATATCCTTTTTTTCTTTTCAAAGTAGATTCAATAATATACCTTTTATCTTATATTTTCTTTTTCTTTTTTTTCTTTTTTTAAACAAGAACCATAAGTCTGATCTCCTTTGTTTAGCCTTTTTCCTGACCATTAACAATAATAACTTGTAACCAACCACCCTAAACAATGACAATTATCCATAACCCATTGAATGACCAAAAACCACCCACCCCACTTCTTGGGAATGTGAGCATTGTGTTCTTAAAATTACTTCCTGCTGTCTGGGGACAAAGGCATATTTAGAGGATCCTGAAAAGAAAATTTTTAGGTTAACTGTCAAGTCCTGGGAAAGGTAGCTGTATCACACTGACACACTCACCAATGCACATACGATAAATTTTACAAAGACCCTGTTCTGTGTGTATGTGTTAATTGTTTTGTTTTGTTTTGAATTTGCGCCTCTGTGTGTGTCTCTCACGTGTATGTGGATACCCACAGAGGTCAGAAGAGTGTCAGATCCCATGAAGCTAGAGTTACAGGTGGTTGTAAGTTTCCCAATGTGAGTGCTTAGATCTGAGCTTGTGTCCTCTAGAAGAGAAGCAAGTGCTTTGAACTGCTGAGCCATCTCCAGCCCTGAGACTCTGGGTGGGTTAGTTTGTTTGTTGTTTTTTAAAGACTTGAGTTTCTAAGTTGACATTACCTATCATTCAGGGCAAATGTTCATATGTAAAAGCCATTCTTTGCTATGGCTATAAGTAATTGATGGATTTTTATGTTATGTGTATATTATCACAATAAAAGAAATGTGGGGCCAGGTGAGGTGTAATCCCAGCACTTGAGAGGTGGAGGCAGGAACATCAGGAATTTAAGGTGTTCTTCAACAGCTACATGTTGAGGTTGAAGCCAGCCTGGACTACGTTTTTTTAAAAAAAAAAATAGGGAAAATAGATAGTAGGTCATAATTTGCTGATCCTTCATCACGGGCACCCACTTGGTCAGTTCATGCGCTTTCACCCACCCGGCCCAAGGACTCCTTGTCCTGAGTAAGGTCTTCGTCAACCCACTGTGTGGCCAGCGCTACTGCCAGGATGGTTGCAGTGAGGTCAGCAAAGGAAGCGTGGCATGTGCAGCAGTGGCGTCCTGGAAGACAAGTGACACCACTGTGCACACACCGGCACAGAGGTGACGCTGTCATACGTGCTTTCCTTTAATGTTTTCTTTTCGTCCAAAGATTGAAAGAAGCCATAAATACAAGTAAGGATCAGGAAAGCAAGTACCAAGCCAGCCACCCAAACCTCAGAAGGCTGCATGATGAAGGTGAGTGACAATGTGTGTGAAAACTCAGGTTTGGATCTGTGTGGGGAGGGTCTCAGGGTTGAACCCTCAAGTACCAGTACAGGCACAGCCGTCTCTTTAAAACGATGTGCTGCAAATGATAAAAGGGCTGAGAAAGAAGTCAGAGAAACATCACC